TGTCCAAATTTTCTTAAAATTTTTGAACATATGCCAATGCTCAATACTACATTCACGTATAAGACCAAGACTAGTTATGTCAATTAAGAGCCAATTTCTCATGCAAAATCAGTAAACTTAATAAGCAGTAACAGCCTTATGTTCTCATTAGAGATGTGGTAGAAACTGTTGCAGCTCAGTAAGATGTAACAGTTTCTACTGCATATCTAGTTTCCACAAACAAAATACTAAAATACGGACCTTTCTTTTATTTCGTTGTTACTGTCGTTTTGTTATTATTTCGTCATCATCTACTTGTTTTTTTTTTAAAAAAAAAAGGTATTGTAATATAAATAAAAATAAATTAAACAAAAATGAAATAAAACATCCAAGAAGAGTTGAAAATATGAAAAGTCAAATTAATTTAAACAATTTAAAATAAAAAAAACAAACCAAAATAAAGTCATGTTTGGTTAAAGGGGTGTTGTTTATGAAAGTATCAATAATACAATTTATGCAAGATGTAGATCAATATGTAATTGGACACAACCCCCTAAAAAATGTGTACCAACAAAATTTCACTATTATGTAATGATTGAACGTTTCTAATAAGATGAAGCACTATGGGAATTTATAGTAAAATTGCTCAAGGAATTTTTTTTGTTAGAGCACAAAAAATGGTTTTTTTTTGCAAATTGTTAAGAAAAAAGCGATTTTTGAAATACGAACGTTTTGTTTTGATCTTCCTGACTATGTAACGTTACATTAAAATGAGACTCATTATTGGATGACCATTATGTGAAAGTAAAAATTTGTTGGTGCACCTGGTGTAGTTCCCTAAAAATGTCTAATCATATGATAAACATGATAGGATTCTTAATTTCATTGGTTGCATTGATGTAAAAATTTCCCAGACACATGATCTGTGTACTGATTCTGATCATATGAGTGAATTTTGGACAATTGAGCCCTGAATAGAGTCACTAAATTCAGTCTAAACTCCTTATTTAATGTTTTTTTTATTGGTCTGACGAATTATTATTAGTGATTAGTTTGATTTTTTGAGGATCTTTCTGCATTATTATGCAAGAGGGATATAACAAATATGCATCAAATTGCATTAAACCTATTAGATTATCTTTAAACCCATTAGATTATCATTTAAACCATTTGTCTGAGCCTACAGAGACATGTTATTTGTCATCATTATTATGTAAATAAAACTATCGAAATGGTTGATCAGCATGCCTAAAGTAGGGATCCTATTTTTTACTATTTTCAGTCTAAATTAACCTTAATTTGGGCCAAAAACTGATATAACAGATCTCTCTAATAATTGAATTCATGGTATTTCATAAATGAAAAAAAAATTTATTAACTATTTTAACTATTTCAAAAACAGAATAAATAGATATAAAACAGCAATAAATAATAATAATGTTTAATAAATTGCTTGTTTAATGATGTGTTTACCATCTACTTCTCAAAATTTAACTTCTAAACCTTTAATTTTTTTGGTTTCTTGTTCTGTCTGTTTTCGAAATTTCAAATCAGAAAATGGATACAAACAACATTGTAAAGCTATTAAAAAGTATAACGTATTATATAATGATCTCGATGAAATTTCAGTTAGAACATTGCATGAATTTAAGAATATTTTAATCCAACAAATACATCACCAATTGTTATTAAGTTTTACCAAGATCGGAAGAAAGATGTTATTAGTTCTGTGTATTGAAAGCTTATTTTTTGCTGTTTTTAAAGGTTATGTTCATCAATTTTCAAATAATCCACAAGTATATAAATGCAGGTTTCATGAGAGTCTGCATATTCAACTTTAGCACAAATTTTGGAAGATCTTAGATGAGGTCAAAAAAATTATGATCAAAATCAACAAACATACATCGTTTTGGAATGACCTAATATTAATGACGATCAAAATAATGATATTGATTCTCTTGAGCAATTAAATAATCAAAAAAAAAAAAAAAACCTAAATTTTTTCATGATGAGCTTCTGGTAGAATGGAAAAAAAAATTATTAAAGAAATAGATGGACATACTTGTGCAGCAGAATTTGTATACTTATCTTTTTATATTTCACAAAGATATATACTTTAACGTTAATATTATCTGATTATAAATTAATAAAGCTATTACCTGATTAGGGCTAACAACATTGATATATACATATGAAGTCATAGGCTCAACAGGGAGAACCATTGATGTTACATAGCTGATTCTTCACCCAGTATGAAACATATAAAAAATCATTTTACAATACCGGATCATTCTGCTAGTACATGTGTTATGATTATAATCCTACACCATTTTTATTATAATCATAACATGTACTAGTGGAATGATCTGGTATTGTAAAATGATTTTTTATATGTTTCACACCAGGTGAAGAATCAGCCGTATAATATCAATAGTTCCTCTTGTTCATGGGTTATGATCTTGATAAACAAGCCACAAAATTCATAAAAAGTGATTTTAGTAGTTATCCAAAAAGGTTTTTTTCTTTGAAAACCAATCGATTAAATGAAATTTTGTACTTACAACACAATTAAATCGCAGTATTAAATAGTAAAGATTAGAACTAAAATGGCTATATATCTCTTACATCATTCTTAAGTTGGTAGCTGTGTATGCTCTACACTATACTGTAAAGAAAAATGAAACAGTTGTGAACATTAAGCAAACAGATGCAGCAATTGAATTAATTTAAATTAAGGTCGCAATATAAATCAGATCTGCTTTCTTACATATTTTTATTAATTCCATAATAGACACTTATGACTACCAATATATTAATAAACCTAACTTGGAAAATTTTGAATTTTTATAAATTATAAGGGAGAGTTGGATATTCTGGCATGGGAGGTAATGTGGCGCACTGAAGTTTTTTTAAAGTATCTCATAATACAATAATTAGAAATGAACGATTTTAGCATCATTCAATTTGCCTTATCAAGACGAATTAAATGGTGTCAAAATCTCTTTAATTGGAATTATTGGCTGCTAGATATAAGCAACATTAATAAAAAAAATTAAAAAACATCAGAAATTAACAAATGTGTACATATTCGGCATATCTCAGCCTAATTAAGTAACTTATTAATTAAAATACATAATTTAATTTCTTGATAATATATTTATGTCAAGTAAGTAAAAATTTTCATGATATAAACTTAACTCCTCTTTATAATGTGAAGAGTGACAATCACAATAGAATTTTTGGAAACTAGAATTATATTCTTCTTTATCACAAAATAGATCAGCAAATTTACACATCTCCAACCCTTTGAGAGTGTACCTATACCTATATTCTCTATCAAAAATGCCATCATCACTTACTGCTTTTTTAAATATTTTGTATTTTTTGAGAATATATTCCATCTTAGTGAGAAGTTCATAATTATATATAAGATCATCAAAAAAATAACAACTGATTTAATTTGATCGAATTCATGACTACACGAGTGATAATTGTCAGTTAGCTTAATTTTTTCGTTTGTGATTATTAATTTCAAGAAGTATTTTATGATATCAATTAACCACTTGTAAAGAGACGGAAGTACAAATTTCATCTGATCTTTAAATTCACTAGGGTCATAGGTACTGTTGATTAAATTATTACAAAGGATTGAGATTGTGTTCTTAATTTCTTCATAATGTGAATCAGGAGGGTATTCTATTTTTAATGTATACCAAGTTTTTTTTGAATTTTCTTCAAGATAAATATTTTTATCTGTCATTTAATATAGATTTAGTTTGATTTAGCTTTAATTGAGGATTTGGTCTGTTAAATAACTAATTGTCTAAAGAAACCAATATGATTGTTGTTGTATATAGTCTCAAAAAAAATATTGTAGTCGTGATTTTATATATCATGTACTCAAAATTTCTTCATTGATGATTGCTGAGAACATGCAATCTTAATAATGATGCATGCTAGATCATCGAATTTGACTTTTATTATCTGAATTCTTATATAATCTAATACTAATTTAGAATAGTTAGTAATTTAAAAATTTTATATATGTTGCACAAACACTATAATGCATATACTGCTATTGTTATAAACTCAATATATGGTATAATCTTTTTCACATATTCAAATTTTTTATATTCAAATTTATGGATCCTATCGCTATTGATTGCTTGAGCACAATCGATTTTGGAGTGATTATCACCATTATTTTAAATGTCTATGATTAGTGATGGGACTAAGAGTGCTAAAAATTAAAATATCATATGCTGTAATCTATTAAAAATATTAGATCCTTAATAAATTATTAAATGTGTCAATTAAGTATCACCATTTTTTAACCCCTGTAGTCCTATTACTGTCTATAATTTTGCAAATCGTGATAATATATTACTTTTGTCTTTTGGTTGTACTAATAATCTATAGCACTGATTTTTTGCAAGATTAATAATTTATTGTTTTTTGATCATGCCAATAATTTATCATGCTGAAATTATTTAATAAATATAATTACAATATAAATTGTACAATTTGTGCAAAATAAATATAAATGTTAGAAAGTGACTGTTCAATTCAATTGATAAATGATATCTAAATCTATACCTACTGTCCAATTACTATAATCATGTCAATCCAATTAAATAATCTAAATCACAATATTGATATTGAAACTTCTGAATTGGGGTATTATCCTAAGAATCATATAATCACATATAAAGAAAAAAAATATAATATTACACAGCAGTCTTTTAGTTATTTTATAGTGGCTGAAGGGTCTTATCCACATTATTCTATACTTTGTTATACATTAATTCCTAAAGAATATCCAATTCCTGATAACTATTCCATAAAAACTACATAGAGATGTGGAAAAAAACAACAAACAATCCAATGTGAAATTGAATATAAGGATGGGTGTTCAGAATTTTGAATCTTATTTGGCCCATCTTTTGAACATGTACTTAAATCAAATGAGTTAACTAGTAAAGTTGCAACAGAGTATAATAAGGTACGGTATTAATATATATATTTAAAAAATATCACGTGATTATCACGCATTGAGTTTGTATATAGCTGCCTTTAATCAGTTAATTGCTTTTTTTAAATTGCTTATGAAACTGATCAAGATGTTGCATAATATTTATAAGTTAAAATTCTATTTGTAGATTGTAAATTCAAACAAAAATAGTTTTTTATCTAGGCCACTAATCTTTGGATTACAGCTTCAAACACTTAATAAAGTTAGAAAATCTCATGATAAACATATAATTAAACCTGCTGAACAATCTTTACCAAAAACACTTAAAAGATATGCAACAGAACTTGGAATTATGATCAAAGAAAATTTTATTCAAAACACAAATTTCAAGTATTATGATCAAGATTTCATTGAATTAAAGTCATTTGAGTATGCTATCAATAATCAAAATTATCTTATTAATTTTGAAAAGGATGATCATATACAAAAAAAGCTAAAATTTTAAATATAGTTAGGATAATGGATACATGTTATATTTCACAAGATGCTTATTGAAATTTGGCAGCAACAAATTACCACCTACTACGTGAATATATTATTGTAAATGAACGAAATAACCTAACTCAAAAAATGGCTAAAGACATTCTAATTAAACTTATTAATATAAATACAATAATAACAGCCGAAGCTTCTGATAATATAGATGAAGAATTTAATAATATAGATAATAAATCTAATAATTTAGATTCAGACATAATTAATAACATTATGAATTCTATAGATATAGGTGGGCAGTGTGATTGTAAAGGAATACTTCGATATTTAATTCCTTATTTGTTGCAAGAAAATATATTATCAGTTGATGATCTAATAATTCATTTGCAGATTTCTGGAGATGGTCAGAATGTTGGCTGAAAAGTCAAGCATGTTATTATTACGTTTATAGTTCTTAATGATCAAAAACATTGCCACATACCTAACTATCATTATACAGTTGCCATATATCCAGAAATTAAAAAATATGAATCTCTTAAATTCATATTAAGCCCATTTTTTAATGATCTTAGAGATCTTAAATCTAACAGATTATAGGTTGCAAATATATTATGGTGGTTTAAGTTATACTTTAGTAGTGATTGGAAGTTCCTTGCGATCTGTCTCAGATTAAACGCCACAAATTCTAATCATTTTTGTGCTTGGTATCTCTGTTTTAAACATAATATTGGTAATGTAATGCAAGATTGGCAAATCACAAAATCAATGGATGATTTAAAAAATAATTACCTTAATATTCCTAGTCATATTAAGCCACCATTATTCGATATGATTCCTTTGTGCAACTTGTATTCGATGAGTTGCATTTATTGTTACAAGTTGAAGATCAGCTTTGGACATTAATGTTATCAGAAATCAAAGAGAGAAATCTATTCAATGATATTAGTCATCAAATTATTGTAAATGAAATAAATCGGCTTAATATCAAATTTTAATTTTGGAAAGAATCTGATATATGGAAAAATACATCATTAACTGGTAATAACAAAGTTAAAGTGTTACAATATTTTAATTTAAACACCCTTTTTCATCCAAGTAGGGCCAAGTTAATTTGATCTTTATGGGACAAATTTATTGATCTGTATAAGGCAATATGTGACCAAAATAGCAATCCTTTATATTTAAAAAATTTAGCACTTGAATGGTTAAAACTTTTTTTAAAACCTGACGAAAAGAATCCAAAAAATCCAAGTAATATCATAAAAAGTCTTTATTTGCCAACTAATGTAACTCACTATATTCATTTTTTGGTATTTCATGGATGGGAGTTACATCAAAGACATTGCCAATAGGGATTAAAAGCATTTTCTTGTAGTGTGATAGAAAAAAAAATTATATACATATTTCATACTTTTTTCGAAAAACTACCCTGAATGGTGGAAATCCTCTTAAAACAAAACCAGCCACAATAGAAATTTTAGAATATGAGTTACGAACTCTTTTTTATACATATAATGATCTGTTAGTGCAACAGAAAACCAAAAAACTTTGTATTAAATAAAATTATATAATATAATTAATATATATGGTCAAAATTTTTTAATTAAAATTAAGTAATAGCGATAGATTTAATGATTTATAAATGATTTACGAAAAGCAATTGACTTATTAAATGAATTATAATTTATAATTATTATGCGGTTTTATAAGTGATTCATATGGTTTTATATAATCATAAATTATAGCTAACACAATTTTACTAAAGATCATCAATATCATATAACTTAAATGTTTGGGTGAAATATTATTCTTGATTTTCAATCAAAAAATCCAATCACAAGTTTATAACATAACAATTACTTATAATTTGATATCATTATTATGTTATTTCTCTAGAAACAAAAGAAATCGCATAATAAGGCCATTCAAAGAGTTTGTTAATGTCAATATTTTGTGTTCAGATATGAGGAGGAAGTTTGTGCAGTGCTTTTAATTTTCGGAGGACAGTTATCCAAGAGGAGGGATGACATTAACCAACTAATCAACTTTGAACGGAACTAAATAATTAGCATGCATAATCACTTTTAAGAGAAAGAAATAGCAGTGATAACTAATAATGTTAGTGAGTCAATCATATATATTATAATGAATATTTACAATTTGCAAAAGTTGCTTACTATTTCAATTTACAATCATTTTACAACAGCCATATCTCTGGCTTGGCAAAATTTGTAATTAAACAAGGATTCAAAAGGATCACTCAAGTAACTTTGTTATGAAACCTTATTTTTAATGTCAATAAATAAGCATCATTAATCATATCGAAAATAGTATTTGAGAACCTTTAATATGTCATCATTTGTGTATTTAAGTTAACAAAAATTTTGTATAAATACAATTATAGCTGAGTACTATCTTGATCACTTCCTAAATTTGTACCTTTCACCTTTATTGAATCTAATATGGTAATACGTAAAATTCAGAGATGGCAATACTTATATATCTAATTGTTTTGGTCTGAATTAGGCATGTAAAGTTTATATATTCAAGTGTCTAATTTTATATGACCAATTTGTCTAAATGCAAACTTTGCAGTAAAATTAAGTCGCTAATCAATTTTGATACTTCAATAATTTAATTCGCATTATTCATTAAGAGAAGGAACCAAACCCCCAAATATGGTTGAAATACTTACAGAGAAAGATGATGTTCAAGATATGTGTTACCAGTGGTTACTAAAAAAAAGAACATTTGGTGAGAAAATTGATGTGTTACAAGTACGTACTCCAAAAAAAAAGATAAGAGTCAAGGTGCACCCCAAGAGATAGAAATTGTAATAATACCCAATGGTTTTAAATAAATAAGCATTTTTTATTAATGATTTCAAATGCCTATAAGGCATCAGAGATCTTGATGATTGAACCACTCGAGAAAATAACCTGAGTGGGCAATTTGCATTGCTTACCATTTCAATATAACAGCACTTTATATTTGTCCTTTTCAACCTAATTTTGTCAACTTACGATAGCAAAAAAAAAATAAAATAAAAAAAATAAATATGTTATATTCATTTTTTCGACCTCAATTCCACTTTAATAGCAATAACCAAAAGTTTCTAACCTTCGCTGATTTCTGTAATACATATAATATAAATCCAGCATTTTTACTCCAGTTCTATTCTGCAACTATAAGTTATATCTTCTACTAGCATTTTCCAACTTTGACAGATCTTTGATAATAAATTATTACAATCATTCTTTTCAACATTATGTTCTTTTTTGTCTTGTAATATCTAAAATATTTATATATATATATATATATATAATAAATATAAACCGAAAATTAAAATACAATATATACACAAAACTGAAAGATTATAGTATATAGCAAGTTTTACACTTTTTCTCGCAATGAACGAACAAAAAGTAGTATATAATTTTTGTGTAACGTTACTAAATCAGAGCTAAGCATAATGTCAAATGACCTGACATACTACAAAAAATTTTAGGGCATAGTGTCCAAAATTAGCCTATATGGGATATTGAGAACTCCTAAATCGGTGAGTCTGTCTCTAATCGAAGGTCGGCTTCATGTAACGATTGAATGGCTTGTAGTTTTGAGAAAGGCGTGTAGATTTGGTGAGTGATTTATCATCTGTAGATAAGTACTAATCTCTTTCTCTTGAGTCTTTTCCTTCTACCTACTCTTTTAACTAATTCTTATCTTATCTTTTTGTCTCAACCAGGTTTTCGCTATGTCGAATCGGGGCAGGACTCATCTCTTTCAGTCTGGGCACGCGACTATAGTGAATGATCGACTGCGGGTTTAGTTTATTCTTAGGGCAGACGAGTTCTGTTAGGGGTGGGATTTAATGATAGTTACGGGGTCTTACAAGACAACACTTGCACTTTTATTAAGGTCGGGTAAGTAGTTTATGTTTTGCAGTTGTAGATACTTTATTATTCTTTTATTATTTCTATTTAAATTCTATCTAAAATCCGTCATCACAATATAATATTGGATGGTGCTATAATGAAAGAATTGGAGTTGAAAAGGATGAACATAAGGCATTCATTTATTATCAAAAATCTGCAGAGATAGATCTTGCTAATGGAACATACAATTTTGGACATTGTCACTTTATGGAAATGGAGTTAAAAAGGATGAACATAAAGCATTCATCTATTTTCAAAAATCTGCTGAAATGGGATACATTCATAGAATACAGGCAGTTGGATACTGTTATAAAAATGGAATTGATGTAACAAGAGACATACAAAAAGCTAATGAATGGTATCAGATATAAGTTATATATATGTTGCAATGATAAAATTATATATTTCTTTTTAATAAATATAAATAAAATACATTATTAGAGAACAGAAGCAAATATCAAGTAATGCATAGTTATTGGATGCAAAGCAGCCAATAACAGAAATTATTTTTCAAATAATTTCATTATCTGGCTGTGAAATTTAATATGTCAGCTTCTGGGTCCCAAAGGAGCCCTGAAATGACGCATATTAAATTCACTACCAGATAAACGAGTTATTGGCTGAGTAGCATTCAATAACGGTATTATCCTGTGTCTTACTATTATCGAACAGGAGGAACCGTCGATGTTACATGACTGATTCTTCACCTGGTGTGCAACATATAAAAAAATCATTTTACAATACCAAATCAATTCGCTAGTACATGTTATGATTATAATCCCAAACTATTTTATTATAATAAAAATGGTGTAGGATTATAATTATAACATGTACTAGTGAATTGATTTGGTATTGTAAAATGATTTTTTTATATGTTGCATACTGGGTGAAGAATCAGTTGTGTAATATTGATGGTTCCTTCTGTTCTATTATCACACTTGGATAATGTGTACCAGGTTAGTACATCATTGTGGCTGATAATCATTAACACTCTGATTCCGAACAAATTTTTTTTTAATTTTAAAAATGCAACTTTAATTGAATATGCATTACTAAGCAAATAAAAAAAAGCAATTCTAATATATAATATAGTATAAAATGCAGTAAATGATTAATTTATTTTATTTGCTAAGATGTTCTTCGATAATTTATGTGCCTTTTTTGGCGCCGTTCTTTTCTTGCGCACTCTAATTGAATATGGATCGGTGTTTTCTTTTGTTGTATGAGACTTCCTTCATTGAACTAATGAAGGCTGCACTTTAATCTTTGAACTACTTCGAATCAATTCATTTTTCGATGTAGAGTTTTGTTGAAAGAGATAAGCAGTCAGCTTACCCACTGATATAGATTCAGACTTTTCATATCCTTTTATAAAATATTCAATTCCACTAAGAAGCTGTTGACTATTTTTAATATCATTTAAAATATGATTAAAAAAGGTTTCAATAGATGTTATATGATTATTTATATCATCTTCATGATTTCTAATAAAAATAGCAATAATGTATTAATAAGTTTAATTTTACAAATTTTATAACCTGTATTTTATTTATTTATTTATTTATTTTACAAACCTGTTTTGGGAGCTTTCAATGATTACTTCAGTATTCTGCTCATCTACATTAAGTGGATTCATATTTTGATAGTTTATTTCATTATTATAACCGAATCCTGATACAATTGGTGCATGCAAGGATGCATAAAATATTGGATCTTCTGCAATTGTTTCTTTTAAATATTTTAAATTTATTAGTATGTATAGTATATCAATATATATATAGATGTAAAAATATAAATAAATTCTAATAAATTTTATCACATACGATATATCTATAAGTCATACAATCTTCAAGAATAAGAGCCACAATATAATTAAAAGAACCTGAATAATATTTAATAGCAACTACTGCTTGATGTTTACAAGATGATCCACCAAGTGCCATAGAACAAGTGCATGTTCCAATAAATGAATCAACAATATAATATTTATTATTAATTGTTGCACTAGGAATAAAATATATATTATTTATATTATCGTATTGAATATTTTCTTGATTAATTTCTTTCCATCCTAAGCAGCGGAACCATTTTGATATTTTTATATGAACTAGGTGATGATTTGCTATAACTAGTATTTGTCGTTCATAAAAATGCTTCATATTGGTTGTAATGAATTGAAAGATTTGTACTAGATTATATGCCTTAATACATGCAAAAACAATGTCTTTTAGAAGTTCAAAACTTCTTTCAACATAGTTGTTGGTATGATTTCCATGTAATAATAAGTTTTGTCAATATGCTAATGCCCAAGTAGCTCGACATTCCCAGAGATGCAAACAATATGCTGCAAACTGATCATATTTTGTAAAATATTTAGACTGCAAGTTTGAGAATTCAGTTTCTATTTCATTAACTATAGGTGTATATAAAACTTTTTTGAATAATATCATAATTTGTGTATAATCATCTTTATGAATTTTATGTCCTGAATTATACAACCAATGTCAAACTGATTGTAAAATGTGAAAAATACATAATAATTGTATACATGTTGGCCAGCAACGTGCAATAACATTATGTTCTGCATAAGAATCATCTGTAATAATAATTATAGGCCCAATTTGTGGTCCATGATAGTAAAATGCATTGTCTGATAATACTATTTTAAACAAATTTATAGCATTTTCGATAGTAATTTCAGTTTCATCTGAAGTTAAAAAAACACCTAATGGTAATGTGCCAATTGAGCAACTTGTGTAAAGAAGAGTAATTGAGGTGTTAAGTGGATCAAAAGCAGCAGATGCATCAAATAACAGAGCTCTTCGGCTTGATGAATTTTTTCATGAACTCGCTTCATTAAGTTAGTCACAATACATAGAATAAATGGAGTAGATGTAGATGAATTATAAGTTTGAAGTATAGCTTTTCCTTTACCAGAATTGTTATAAAGAGTAACAGCCTCTTGTATATAATCAAACATCCTCTTTCCATTTCGATCCCCCAGTTGTGAAATACGAAATTGATTATAAAGATTTTTTACATAAGTTCCATTAGGATTTATTGACCGATCTGCTAGCAATCGAGTTAGTTCATCATCATTAGATGTAGATAAATGTAATTCATCTTCATATAAATATCATGCAGTTGCTGCTGAATGACCCATATTAAATAACTCAATATAATGTTTTTGAGCATTGAGTCCAACTGGTCGAAAACTTAACGAACTTGCAGAATTGAGCACATGATTATGTATAAACCAAAGGTTTATTTCAAATAGGTAAGTATCCTCAAAACCAAATTTTTTAGGTTTTTTCATTTGAAGATTTAGAGTTGCATTACATCCAGTATCTCTGTTTTGCAGACCATTTGGATTTTTTGTTTCACGATGATTATTTTTTTGTTTGACTAAATTGCTATGGATGCAATGTTACAACTCCCTAAAAACAACTTTATCTCCTTTAACTGGATAAGTGCATGTTAAATGCATTGTAGTTTTTGAACATTCTTGAAATTCATTAAGCCATGTTAAAGCATCTTCCTTTGTTTTTTTTTTTTTTTTTTTTTTTTTTTTTTTAAGAGTGAGGCCTGGCCTCGGTCTTTATTGAACAATTTGGTATTAC